TTCAAAACCCTGAAGGAATTTGATGGACTGGTGGGTGTGCACACAGAAAGGTTTGGAGCATTGACAGACCTGCCAGGACCTGACTGTCACTGCCAAGAAACAGGAAAGAGTTCAGCTCCACTTGGCACAGCTTTACACAGAACATGGAGCTCAAGCTTTCCAGTGAAGTAGAAGTGAAGGCTCAATCTTAGACAGCACTTGCTGACTCAGCCATGATTCAGCATCTGACAGTTAATGTCTCAGTTTCAACTGCAGCACACACAATAGCCAGCCAACTTCCTAGTGCTGCAGTTGGAAGTTTAGACTGAAGTCATTATTTGATGTCATGCAAGCTTAGCATGATGTCCTGTGGATTCAACCAGCTGTCATCTAGCTATGATAACAATGTTCAAAGTAGCTAGTAGCATCTCCAACGAGGCCCAGCAATTGTGGCACTGGTTGAAGAATGAATGCTACTATGCTGAGAGAGAACAGTGGATGGCTGGACTCTCATAAACATACTGTTTTCTCTCAGCATGATAGCATTCATCCTCCTACTAGTACAACTCTTGCCAAGGTGGTACAGTCCAAAGCCATGCCCTCAAGGTTGCAAGCTGCTTGAGACTGTGCTGCAAGAATATTTGCAGTCTTCCCCACCGAAAGACTGGACTCTTCCAGATACCACACTGTAGTCCTTGGGTTAACATTGTACAGGAAAATTAGACAGGCAGAATAGACCATAACATAGCAGCAGAAATTAGGCCATTCAGCCCAATGAAGCTGTCAGACAGACCCTCAGGGAAAGCACAATAATGAATAGTTGCACATCATACATATTATTTTCAGCACTGTTGAACAATGTTGATATGGAATGGTTAATTTGCTGTATATTTATTTCAGGATTTTGGTGAAGGAGACATTGAGCTGAACATTTTCAGACACTGAATGACGTTGTTGAGAAATTTGTGAGAATTACGTGAGAACGACAATAAGGATATTCCTTACAGAAAGAAAAAAAGTGCCATTTTCAACTAAGTGTTGAACAGCAACAGAAGATTCTCATGAATGAGCAGTGACAGGCTTGCTTATATGCATTAGCATCCTCATTATAATGTCATCTCGCCTCACTGATACACATTTGGGGATTTCTTCATGTGAACCCGAGTCTAATGAGATGCTCATGGTCAGTCCATCTAAAGGTGTATTGTCCCTTCCTTTATTCTTCCTCCTGAGTTGACTGCCAAACTCCTGGTTGCAAGCATTGTACCCATTTGATTACCATTTGCACATTAATGCAAGGGAACTTTTCCAATTGTCATATTGGGATCTAGTACCAATACACCAATGCATGAGCAGTCACAGGGTTTCTGCACAATGGGAAACCCACTATCTTGGCCAAGTCACATGGCTCCACCTCAGTTTCTTCCTGACATAAAGGGCCTCAGTGACCTTGAAACAGTGATGCATAATGAACTGAGAAAAGTTGATGATTTGCCAGTCCCAGCATGGAAGGATCCTCCAGTTGAGAAACTGAGGGCTATGGTGACCTGTTTGTACATTGTCAGCAGCAATATTACCATGCCGGGTGGTTTCCACCCAATTTGAGGAGGCAGCACAGTCCACTGACTAGACCCAATGTGAAATTCAGCTGCTATATATATATATATAGTACACTGTTGTCTTCAATGTCAGTAAGAATATGTTCACAGCAACCCCTAATGGTTAAGGGGCTCTGTTGAAAAAAACCCCATCCAGCTCCTTCTGTGCTTTCCCCAATAGCTGAAACACTTCCATGGTCTATTAGAATCATAGTCTGAAGGCACATGACACCAGGTTATAGTCCAACAGGTTTATTTGAAATGACAAGTCACTTCACCTGACAAAGGAGCAGCTCTCCGAGAGTTTATGACTTTAAATAAACCTGTTGGACCATAACGTGGTGTCATGTGACTTCTGACTTTGTCCACCCCAGTCCAACACCAACGTCTCCACATGATTTTAGAATCACAGAATTGCAGACCCGTAATTATTCCTCCCTTGACCGAGGGCAAATTTTCTACACAGAGGCCTGTAAAATGTACACCACTCAATTTCAGACAAAGGTCCAGAACCACTCTCTTCTAAGTCAAAAAACTCATGTGTGATCCTCCAGCAACATAGTTCACAGTCCCAGCACCAACTCTGCAGCAGCAAATGGAGATGGAGATGGAGAGATCCAGGAAGGGACTTCCTACAAACCAAAGAGGTGGCCATGGGCATGGCCCAAGCTATGCCTGCCTATTTGTGGGATTCATGGAACAGTCTCTCTTCAACAACTACACCTGCACCATCCTTCACCTCTTCCTCCGCTACACGAATGATTGTATCAGTGCTGCCTCGTGCTCCCGCTAGGAGCTCAAACAGTTCATCCACTTCACCACCACCTTCCACCCCGCCCTCAAATTCACCTGGACCATTTCTGACACCCCCCTCCCCTTCCTAGAACTCTCCTTCTCCATTTCCACTGACATCCATTTCAAACCCACTGACTCCCATGTACCTCGACGACACCTCCTCTCATCCACCATCCTGCAAAAATGCTATCCCATACTCTTTTCCAGATCCATATTTATTGATACTAGCTTCTAGCACCTGCAGTCCTTACTGTCTCCATGATTTGTTTAAATTCTGCATTCCCGGATGATGAATTTTAGACTTATTTTCTTTCTTGTGAAGAATGCTTCAAGTATTCAAGTAATTTTTTTAAAAGTATTCATAGAATGTCAGTATAGTTTATGATGACTTATGTTTCTTAATTCACTGTTTAGGAAGTGTTCAACTTAGCAATTATTGACAATTCTACACATCCTTTATCTACTGTGACAATACTATGGCTCTAAGAGATGTATTTTGTCCTGGTTTTCTTAATGAAGAGAGGCTGAGACAGAGATGCTGAATGGTCTGTTCCAACCCAATGAAGTAAACAGCTTGTTGAGGCCTTGAGGCTTTTTTAAAAAGTTGGAACAATAGAAGCAGCACGAATGGGTGGAGTCAGGCTCCCACACAACCAGGGTTTCAGTTTAGCTTTCATTCGTGATTAGTGTTATGGACCAGACCAAATCCCCTTCAGATATATCAACAAGATAGCCAAGACCCTAACTTTTTCTTATTTAAAAGCAAGTGTAAGTACTGTGTTCCAGATGTAATTTAATTGATTGCACTTCTCAGCTTTAAGAAAAACACACTTTAATCTTACTCAACAGTTAAAATACAAACAAAATAAAAGAGGAATTGGTCTAATTTTAACTCAATTGGAAAATTTAACAGAATATTAGATTATTTAACTACTAAACAGTCTCTGTTCTAATTTTTTGGAAACTGGTTGTGAAAGCTGCCTCATCTCTTTCTATCTTTGCTGCAGCTAAAAACTTGGGTTCTCTTCCTGCTGCTAGAACTGCGTGTGGGACAAATCTATTCCACTAAATTTACCTTTGCCATCGATGTGTTTTTGGGATGTTACGAAATTAGAACAGTGACTGTTTAGTAGTTAAATAATCAAATATTCTGTTAAATTTTCCAATTGAGTTAAAATTAGACCAATTTCTCTTTTATTTTGTTTGTATTTTAACTGTTGAATAAGAATAAAATGTGTTTTGCTTAAAGCTGAGAAGTGCAATCAATTAAATTACATCTGGAACACAGTACTTATACTTGCTTTTAAATAAGAAAAAGTTAGGGTCTTGGCTATCTTGTTGATATATCTGAAGGGGATTTGGTCTGGTCCATAACACTAATCACCAACTAATGACTAGATTTCTTGTAGAGAGGTAGACAGGATTACTTTGGATTCCAGTTGGCTTCAAGGTAAATAAAATGTCGGATGATAAAAGGTAGAATAAAGTTACATCTTGTGCAACAATGGGCAATCCTGAGCTAGTTATATCCACAATTATCCAAATTACTGACACGCAACTCAGCAAAGGACAAAGACCCTAATCAAATAAAGGTGATTCCAGCATTTGGGGATGATGGGCTTCTGTAGCCAAATGTCTCATGTTATGCTCCTACAGTCAAAATGTTACAAATATTTAGAAAAATATTTTTAAAATTGCATTTTAAATCTTAACTACTGAGTTTAAAACCTTTCAAAATGTGCTGTAAGGTCGCCTAAACCTTTACAACTGCAATGTTTGTCAAACTTCTAGATATTTCTTCAATGAAAGGCCAAAAGTTAAATTACACTACAGAATATTCAGCACTGACCAAAACAATAGACAAGCTAATTAATTATATAAACTCCAAGTATTCAGTACATCTACCACAACAGACACATTTTGCTTTCAACAGAGATTTAAAGCCGATCGGCCAACTACAAACCACAGAAGTTATAAATAGGTTGCAACCAGCCTTACAGATGGAAGTAACAACACACTGGACAGGAAATCTTTGCTAACCTGTCTATTTTATTTTTATTAAGTTTACGATTTTAAATAAATGCCTTCCCAATTGTCTTGAAGACAAATGTGTCAGTGTATGGTAAACAGTGCACCAGCTGCCCGTCAGTACCTGACCTACTTTTTAATTCTTCAAGTTTGGTTCTAAATAATGAATACCTGAAAGCTGTCTGAGTGGATCATTGCCTAGTTTGATTCTGCTTTGACCTAACATACAGTTTCCAGCAAGAAGCAATAAACTCTTTTTGGTTTTGTTTCTCTCCTACTTCACTCAAAGTACAAAAGTTATTTTTAATGCCCAACCATCACTCTACGTGAAATAAGCTAACGTAGTAAAGACACTGGCTACTTCATGACCTGTTTCCTGAGTCCAGGTGAGACATTTACTCAGAACCATTGGAATAGCTTTACAAGAAAAACAATCCAAGAAAATGCTTGCAAATCTTTAGCTAATTTCCTGAGGTAAATATGACAATAACAACTATGTAAATATCAAAATTATTTTCATTGCTTCCAAATGTCTAGTGGATGACAAGTTCTGAATAAACACCACAAAATTGAGCTTAATCTTAGTTGATAAGAGCATACCTTTTCGTGGAAAGTATCTTCTCAGAAGAAAGTAAAGAAATATACAGACAATCAGAGTCAGTGACAATCCAACAATTATTCCCAATGAATGAAGTGAACTTCCTTTTTGTTTCTGTTTTTCTTGACCTGTTAGTGGAATATGATCACACAATGAGAAGACAATCAGTGAATGTACTTTTTTCCATTGCAGTGCACAGGAATTATAAACATTAAATGAACACAGTGACGATAAATAATGGTATTGGTGCAATTAAATTGGAAGAATGGCAGAGAGTGAGATGAACAAGTTACACTTTGCATCCAAACTGAATTTACACTGGCAAACTAGTTACCTGCTTGGTGTTGTGACAAATGTTAGATGTGAATTCAGAAATACCTGAACATTGCTGCTTTCTGGCTGCAATAGGATTCATTTTCATTCTTTTGTTAATTTTGTTGATAAAGTAGGTGCAAGTATATACATAGCTCTGATTTACCATGTTCAATCTATTAGTGGGATCTAAACTTGCAAAGAAATCCCAGCCATTTCTCAATTCCATTAAAGGGTGAATTTTCCAAAATATTAATCCATGGTTTTTGAACAAACGTTTAGTGGAAAGTGTTTTTTACATAGTCACAGTGTCACATTCAGTCTATTGAGCAGTATGAGTTTATAGAGATTGAGGAGGTAGGACTGATGAGCATTGAACAATTTCAACAAGAGTGATATGGGCTGAACAGCCTTCTTCAGTTTTCCTACCATTCTTCGTTTTTCATCCGTTACTGAAACAGAAGCACTTGAGACTATGCTGCAAGTACTCCAGCTGCGTGCCTGGTGAGACAGTACAGAAAATGCCCTTTTTAATGGACAAGTGCTATCGTCAACGGACAGTCCTAAATCAGGTTGTCATCAGGCAAAGAGTCAATTGCACTGTCTCTGCTGAAAGGTGTTTTGTGGCTGAGCCAATTCATTATTGAACTCAACCAGGATTCAATGCAGGTAATAGAAACCGAAAGAACTGCGGATGCTGTAAATCAGGAACAAAAACAAACTCAAGGAAGTTCTGAGGAAGGGTCACCAGACCCGAAACGTTAACTCTGTTTTTACCTTCACAGATGCTGCCAGACCTGCTGAGCTTTTCCAGCAGCTTTGTTTTTGTTCAATGCAGGTAATGCCTATCCAAAAAGAAAGTCTGTGCTTGTGAGTTGTACACAGAACAGTAATATTGATAAAGATTAGGGAATTGAAAATCCATGGGGCAATTTTGCTGCAATACCATTTCTACGAAAGACAGATAAAACAAAAGGTTCATTCCACTCAGACTAATAACATAATTAAAATGAAAATGAAATGTAAATGTAGTGTAAATTGGTCTCACCCTAAATACAGATCCTTACAATTGGAAGTGTTTCATTTCATCCCAAGAGATTAACAATAATATGAATTTGCAATGCCCATTATCAATAATGGCTCAGCAATTAGCACTGCTGCCTCACAGTGCCAGGGATCTGGGTTTGATTCCGGCCTTAGGCGATGGTCTGTGTGGAGTTTGCACATTCTCCTCGTGTCTGTGTGGGTTTCCTCCAGGTGCTCCAGTTTCCTCCCACAGTCTAAAGATGTGCAGTTAGGTGGATTGGCCATGCTAAATTACCCATCGTGGTCAGGGATGTGTGGGTTAGCCATGGGAAATGCAGGTTTACAGGAATGGGTCTGGGTGGGATGCTTTTTGGAGGGTTAATGTGGACTTAATGGGCTGAAAGGCCGGCTTCCGCACTGTAGGAATTCTATGATTCAAAACTCTGGTGAGCAAATCTATGTTGTACATTCACCACATATAATAATATCTTGATGATGGATTTTCCAGTCACTTTGGCAGGCAAGTGTTCAGCAAAACCAAAAGACTGATTTAAATTCTAGGCCACTGTTGTCTCACGTTTGATATTAAACCAAATTTCAGTTGCATCACTATTACAAAAATCACATAAGAACTTCTTGTCAGCTGATTAATTGGTCTTGATATTGATCTTCAGCTATGCTTGCTTGTCCTGAAGACTCTTGACAGTGTTTTCCTCAGATATTGAAATATCATAATGACAGAAACTTCTCCACTTGAGTCAATCCTAACCCTAGGTCACATTGACATGACAATAAGTCTGAAGAAAGGCAGAGATCTTATATTAACTTGCCCATAGCCATGTATTCCAGGATCCAGAGTCTCAATCCACAATGTACCACTTCATTTAGTATAAAAGGTTTGCTATTTTCTGAGTATCTTCTCCAACTACATTGTATGGCAAAAATGAACCATCACCTAGCAAGCAAGTTAAGTATTTGGCAGGCTGACTCACAGACTTTGGAAAGGGCATGGAGTTTCTTTCACAGCAAAGATCAAAGTTTATGAGGTAGTGGTTCTTCCATTACTCCTTTATGGTTGTCAGAAGTGGAAAATATACTAGCATCATATCAACAACCAAAAGTATTCAATCTTCATGCCCTAAGATCTAGTTACAACATTAGGTGATAGGATAAAATCCCTAACATTATCTGCTCATCTGAACTGAGCTTTACTGGATCCATCATGTGGTTCACGTGGAGGATTTCTGGATACCACAGAACTCTGCAGACTTCAGGATGTCCCAAACTTTGACATAAAGACTATCTAAAAGCCATCCACAAAGCTTGCAAACTGCAACACCTTGTAACAATAAAGATTCCAAGACTGTTTTTTGTGAGTTGTGAGAAATCCATTAAGATTCACAAGGTCATAAATCACACGACACCAGGTTATAGTCCAACAGGTTTATTTGTAAACACAAGCTTTTGGAGCCTCCCTCCTAACACGTGAAGGAGGACTGAGGCTCCAAAAGCTTGTGTTTTCAAATAAACCTGTTGGACTATAACCTGGTGTCGTGTATTTTCTGACCTTGTCCACCACAGTCCAACACCAGGACCCCCACATTAAGATTTATAGCAGTAATTGTTGTGTGGACATTATTTTCTAATGGATTGATTAGTGTTGTACTATTTACCACATTTGTAAGAGTGCATTAGCTGCAGTGTAAGCTATGGAGCTGCACTAAGATGACATGCAGAGTTTGGGAGACTTGTTAATTATGTTAATGTGCAAGTGATACGTTATTTAAATAGCAAGAAGATTTTTGACAATTAGAACTATTTTATCTGCATTGAGATAACCAACACATTGGTCATTTTGTCTCAAACTCTGTTGCTGTTTGAAGTTGATTAGTTGCAACATGACTGAGTAGTGCAGATATCACTATGGAGATTCTGCCTGCACTGATTGCAAAAAAAACATGACCAACAATGAGCACCTGCTGTTTCTATTTACTTGTAAAATACACCTGCCCTGCAACATGAAGCCTTCATCAAAGCATAAGGTTAGGTGTGAAAAAGAGCAGCCCGTTCATTGCTGACAATCAGCTTATATATTATAATTCTCCTGAATGCTGGCACAGTGATGAGAATCGAGTGAACCTGTAACCTACTTTTTCATTGAAGACTTTGAAAAAAGGAGCAGTGATTCTGTTGAAAGAATTTAAAACAAGGATGTTTTCATCGCCATGTACAGGGTCAATAAGACTATCAGACCTAGGAGCAGAAGTAGGCCACTCAGTTCATCAAGTGCGCATCATCATTCAATGAGATCATGGCTGAGCTAATAATCCTCCACTCCACTGTTCTGCCTTTCTTCACAGCCCTTGATTCCCTTGCTGGATTAAAAACCTGTCTATCTCAGCCTTGAATATATTTAATGACATAGCCTCTGTCGTACTCTGCAGTAAAGAATTTCACAGATTCACCATGGCCTGAGAGATGAAATTCCACCTCCTCTTTGTCTTAAATGCTTGACCTTTTATTCAGAGATGATGCTCCCAATCTTAGACTCTCCCACAAGGGAAACAACCTTTCCATGTCTACCTTGTCAAGTCTGCGAAGAATCTTGTATATTTGAGTAAGGCCGCCTCTCATTTTTCTATATTCCAATGAGCACAGACCCAACCTACTCAACCTCTCCTCATAAGAAAGCCTCTTCACACCAGCATTGATGCAAAATATAGAACGTTACAATATAAATAAAAATTTCTTTGAAACGTGAAATGAGTTTGCACATTGAATAACCAAGTAATAACATTAAGGAAGATCTCAGGTTAAAGCTCAAGCCTTACACAGGTCTTGATAGTAATATTATCATTGTCTTTTGTCTTTGGATGAAAGAGAAAAAAAAAACTTACCCAGTCTTATTCAATGGCCAGTTTTGGAAATTTTAAGTAAGGACAGAATCAGGAATATTTATGATGCAGTCACTAATATTTTCATAGAATCCCTGCAGTGTGGAAACAGGCCCTTTGGCCCAAATGGTCTACACTGCCCCTCTGAAGAGCATCCCATTCAGACCCATTTCCCATGTCTAACCCAAACATCCCTGGACACTATGGGCAATTTAGCATAGCCAATCCACCTAGTCTGCACATCTTTGGACTGTGGGAGGAAACCAGAGCACCCAGAGGAAACCCACACAGACATGGGGAGAACATGCAAACTCCACACAGACAGTTGCCCAAGGTTGGAATTGAACCTGAGTCCCTGGTGCTGTGAGGTAGCAGTGATAACCACTGAGCCACCGTGCCACCCACTTTGGTATGAATCAAATGCTATCACAACACTTCACCTTACAAAACAATATGTACCATTCCATTCCCATTCATTTCATAGCTAGGCTGCCTGCACTCAATATATTGCCATCCAGATTTTCTTTTTTCACATCTCTCCAGAGGATTTGGGTGTCTCTGGAAAAGCCAACATTTAATGCTCTTTCTTATTGCCCTTAAGAAAGTGGTGGTGGAGGGAAGGAAATCTGCTAATCTTACCTACTTAAATGTGACTCTTAACTGCCTTCTGGGAAATTAGCAACGGGAAGTTAATGATGGCCTACATATCTATATAGCTATATATATATATATATAGCAATGGCTACTTCCCATAAACTAAAGAAATAAACTGGGAGCTTGATAAATTTGGGGCATTCGTCTGAAACCAAGATACGTTGAGGAACTTTACTCATGGACCTGTCACATAATGGGCAAGGTGCTAATAAAATGATTGCTCTGTCTTGAATGGTGTCAAT